AAAGTAGAGAAATGCACTACATGTATACTTTCTAACGTGAAATGGAAAAAAACGGCTCTTTCAAAGGCTAGTTAAAATTGATGGTAATATGCATTGTGAAAATCAAGAGTATGCTGTACTAAAAAAGCGAAACCCAAAAAGAAAATAAAACTTTAACTTATATGAGATGTAAGTCTACTTATAAACGAAAAAATTTAACTTCGCGCCAGAGACGACACAAGACCGCAGATGAGATCTCAGCAAAGAAGTGGAAATCATAGATTTTGAGTTGTTAAGAAAAAAATGGGATAAAATAATTGAGGCAACTTTCCATCAATAGAGACTGCATATTCCTATCAAGATCTTATAAAGATTATTCCAGTATATTAAAATTAAATATAATTTAAATTTTGAAATGATTCAAGTTTTGCATCGAAACGAAAATTTATTCCAAGTCCAGGATATTTTTATAAGGCAATGATTTCATAATATTAGCAAACAATAAAAGAATAAACAATAAATAATAACATGATATTTTAAGTCTACTACGCATCAATTGAATACCTTAGTTGATGGATAGAGATAAAAAAGTTTGTAGACATTGTAAATGATTATATTTCAGAGTAACATATGTTAAAAAACAGTGGTTCGCTCTTACCAGAAGACTCGGGAAGAGCCTTGGTGACAGAATCGATTTCTGAAGTTGTGGAGAGCACAGCAGTTTCGTATCTGTCCAACTTCATTTCAGCTTGCGTCTTTATATTAGTCACGGCTACAGTTTCCACTGCGCCAAACGGGCATGTTTCAGCCTCCAGCTTGACGTCAGTTATATCATCCACATCATGAGAGGGACTTTTTCCAACGGCAACTGGAGATTGCGAAAGACAATTAAGTTCTACTCCCCGCACACTTTCATCTTTTTCCTCCATATTATCCTTTTTGATATCTTCTAATATCTGCCTCTGTTCCTGATAGTCTATTCCTTCATTCAAAAATTTGGGCTTATCTCTACTATCCACCTTCATTAAGTTATTATGTTTCCTAACTTCACAAGTAGGTTGACAGTTTTCCTTTGGTTTCTTAATTTTTTCCCATTTTAATATCTCCTCCTTAGCATCATCATGATCGTTAATATTTGTATTGCCTGATTTTTGTACCTTTACCCTGCATTTTGTAATACCATTGTCTGCCTCGTATACAGCTTCAGTCATGGGAAGTTGATGTACCACTTGGGGAGAAAGTTGATTTGACAGACGTTTTGAACGTTTCGCAGTGGGTAGCTGTTCTTCCTCAGCCGAATCAGACAAGCCTGTTTGAACTTCCGGCTCTTTGGTTATTAGAGCATTTGTAAGTGAAATAAGAGAGGGCTCGATTGAACAATGATTCTGATCAGAGACTTCACCAATGCGACGTTTTTTCCCCGTTGATTCAATTGGAGAGTTAACATTCTTTTTTATTTGAGCAGAGTCGTTCAAGACAGAGAGGTGAGAATTATTCTGGGATAAATTCTCAGAGGTAAGGATGCCTGAAGTAGGCTTGACTTTGCTTGGATTATCAACCACAAAATTATTCGTCGCAGTTGTGGTCAGTGTGATGGCGTCAACAGGGGTCATTGACGAATCTTCTCCTGTAACGTCAGGACTAAGTCCAGGTTGAACGGCGTTTGGTGCGCCAGAGGGAGCCATATCAAGAAATGGTTCTGTGTTCGGAAGTAAATTTGAATTTTCCGTCGCTTCTGGTACTTGAATTGGTTTAGGTGCAGTTACTGGTGCTGCAGGCGTGACAGAAGTATGAAAGGAGGAAGGAGAGCTCGAAGACTCGGATGAAGCAGCTGTTGTAATCACTGCTGTAGTCGCAACTGCATCTTCTGCCGAAAGGCGGCTCGCTGCAGCTCGGGCTGCAGCAGAAGCAGCTGCCGTTACATTGGCCCGCGTAGGTACTCGACTTGCAACTTCACCGACAAGTCCCAGGGGTATGTTATCACCAGTCACGGGCGCGGATCCGGGTGGAGCGGGGCTAGAAGGCAGCTGGCTAGGCAATGTGTTGAAATGCGTTGCTGCGTGGGCCAATAGATGCTCACGGATATAGTTTACAATACGCGAGAAGCTAAATGCTGGATCAGGTAGAATGTTGAAGTCGGTGCGAGATAGGCCGTGTCTAATTTTGAATAAAGACGAAAATTAGTATATATGGAGAAAAACTTGGCGCTTTTTGTATGAGAAAAATGCTCGTCAGATTAAAAGTTCAAAGCAGATATCGTAATCGACATCGTCAATGTGCCCTGCCAATCTTAGCACAAAGTTGAAATACGTCATAGGCAAGTAAAGCTCATCAATGGATTAATTTTCTGCAGAGCAATAATGATATCACCCTTTCTGTTCTGGTAAATCCACCAATCTCCATCTTCTTATCTTATTATCTCCCTATCACAACTAACTTGGTTATGCTGGACCACACCAAAGATATGTCCTAGTGAGTGAAGTTACTAAAGTGTTAACACATATCTCGTTGATTTCCCTCCCATAGTATGCCGAAACTGCCGATCTGACTTAGACCTTTCAGTTTGCAAACCACTTTCATCTTACTAGTTCATTGACTTCACTCGGTTTCAGTAGTCGTACCCGTTTAAAGTATATCCCATTACCTGCCTCAGTTTGATAGCATGTATATCGTGGTCTTATCAATCAGGGCCCCGAGCTCCTAAATCCCGAGCTATAGCTAAATTCAATAAGGTGCTGGTTTTGCTACACTATCCTTATGCGATCCTATTTCCAATAACGGTCGTGGCTATACTTATCCCTATAATTTTGTGCCCAGAACCCTAAAATTTGGAGTTGTTTCCTCGTACGGACTACACTTACCTTAATCGTCTTGTTATTCACGACGGTTCCCCACTTGTTTATGTACTGCGATCCCTTAAACTCTTTGATTTATGAAAAGACCTATAATGACAACTTTGAACTTTAAATAAATATGCCAAAAAAATCAAATTATGTAGATAGTAAGGTAGGTAAATAGGACAAATACGATCAAGATGTTCTATAATTGTTAGGTCAAGAGCCAAGTAACCAATAGGCCTAATTCGTAATGCAATTTTTTTCAGATAAAACTATTTACCAAGTCATCGAAAGATCTCCGATCGACCAGAGTCACAGCTATATTCATAATGAGTAGGTTTCCGAGAATATAAGTTCCTATTAAAGAATAACAGTATAAAACAAATGATTCCAGCCAAAATTTACTAGGTATCGCAGATAGGCGTAAACTTGGTACTGTAAACACTTTAGCTCGGCATAATGGCCTAATTTTATCAGTGCGGCAACAATATCATTAAACCATTTAACCCAATTCAGAATCCATATAAAGTAAAATAAGAGTTAAAAAGATGAAATTATTTCATCCAGTATAACTATAATTCACTAAACATCCTTGAACATCCTGTTTCAAAGAAACTTGATGAACAGTCGAGTAGAGATAAGAGTCAGCAAGAATTTCGTGTACTGCCTAGGCAGACTTGGAAATTTTGCAAAACAGCAAAAAAGGAGACACTTGGACCAAGGACAACTGTTCAACAACAGGAAGAGAAATCGCCATCGTATTATAAGGGACAAAAAAGGCAATTACAATAATAGTAATCAAGCATGGAATCAGCCTGAAGTTACCGGTATGAGTTCACCTGTGGTATGGGGGATAGAAAATTAAAGGCCAGAAACATGCAGATTATACAGCATTAGAGGTAGATTAGGGATATAATTCCTTAGGTCTGAAAATAGACCTAAGGTGTACAATATCAGTTGTAGGTAAGCGGTACATTTTCAATTCTGCGGTTAAGAATTAAGCCTGACACAGGACCCACTTCACTAAATCCATTTGCAGCGGCACACTCTTATACGACAGGGCAGAATGGTGTGGATAGGTAAATGGGTAGTATGGAGTAGGAGAGAAATATGTAGCACAAGAAGGTAGGACAAAGACTATTGACGAGGAGTGATACCACAACCGCTGAAGAGAAAATTGGTCAAGGGGCTTGCCTTCACCTGTCACTTTGATAAGTTGTAACTCTGTGCTAACTATGGCGCCTCTAAGTGACGATGTCTACTAAGACGTGAGCAAAACGTCTGGGAATATAGCAAGTCGAATGCTCGATGCTGAAAATCACAAACAATATGGTAGAGGATGCAGGACTAGGTACGCTTCCCAAGGTCTCACTGACGCTTCGACCAAGTTGCGAAAACGAGATCAAATCAATAATATAATTCTTTTAAATCCTTATAAAGTATCTAAAAAGTTTAAAAAATGGACCACGCTGCAAAAGAATGCCTTTAAATGGAAACGAT